TGTGGAAAAATCCCATCTTTTAATCATACTTAACCTTGGTGAAGGAACAGTGCAACTTTTAAATAATGAATGAATGTATATTAGCAAGATTTCCCCAAAGCTACCCACAGGAGCCAGATCAAAAAAGGGACAGAGGCAGACACAGGCCTGGGGGGATTCCGGAACTTTCTGGTGAATCCTGGAGTGCAGGGTGAAGTCATTTGGTTCCCCAGAAGCCCAGAACAAGGACTGGTGAAAGAGCCCCGAGGGAGGAGGGGCAGGTGTGCTGCCCCCCGGCTCAGCTCCTGCCACCCCAGCCACACCAGGTATTGTTGGAGCCTCCCCAGCGTTTCTAGGGGGACACACTCGGTTATTCTCCCTCTCTCCTCTTCTGCTATCTTGCCCCCTCCCCCTCAAGACCCTCCAGGCCAAGAGCAGCATCTTCCCACGAGGATAGAGGATAGGTTGAACTGAGTCTCATCACCTAAGTAGCCTGCCGGGGCTCTGAGGTGCATGAATCGCTAGAGGATATTGTCAAAATGCACCCGATTTCCAAGTCTGGGGTGGGGCCTGGGATGCCGCTTTTCTAAGAGGCTTTCCAGGTGATGCCAATGCTGCTGGTCCACAGATCGCATGCTGAGGAGCAAAGATCTAGGGTTTTCCTCCCTGGCTACGTATTAGAATCGACTGGGGCACTTTTAGGGCTAGTAAATCATCTGTGGACACCATCTCAGATCAATTCAATCAGATTTTCTGAAATCAGACCCTTGGCCGTGGGTTTTTGTTGTTGTTGTTTTAGTTTTGGTTTTTTGCACTGAGTTAGACTCTAGATAATTTAGAGGTCACCCAAATGAAGCCTAGAAAACTTAAGCGACTTGCTTACAATCACCTGCTAAACGAGGATTACAAGCAGACATGGCAGGGGGGTGGCCTTTGGAACCAAGCCTGGGCCCCTTCCCTCCTGTAGATTAGCAGTCTCTGTGACTCCAGTCCTGTCCCTGGGCTCAGGGTTGCAACCTATGAGATTCCATTTGGGGAGCAGAAAAGATGCTTCCTAAGCCTGCCTGAAACTTCACTCTTAGTGGTTCATTGTTTGGGCAGAGGCTGAGTGGACCTTTGTCATGAGCACAACCTGTTAGCAGCTTGGGGGCAGTGGGCTGCTCAGATCCCCCTTGACTGGCACTGGGCTGTTTTGTGGGATCTGGGATGAGGGGAGGGAGGGACCCTAGAGTCAAACCTGCCTCCTCTTGCAGCTTTGCTGAGGGCACCCAGCACAGAGAGGCGTGCCCTTCTAAGTTGGCTGCCCTGGTTGTGGGAGGTCATGGGGCCACAGGCAGAGGGCAGGAGGATGAAGGCAGAGCTGCTCCAGGCGTGTGTCCAGGGAAAGCCATGACCTTCTGCAGTGGTATGTGGTATGTGGCACTCTTCCTTAAGGCAGAGAGCAGCAGGGCCAAGCCCAGATTGTGCTACACCCGATGGCCCCAACCCCACCGAGGCTCAGCAGCTCGGGAAGGGAATGGGTGTTGGGCCTTAGAAAGTAGAGGTGGTGGACACGGTGCTCATTCAATATCTCCCCTCCCTGCATACTATCAGAATCCTAATTTTGTTCAAGGCCACAATCCTAATTTTGTTCAACCACCTCAGACACTCTACAGTTGGAAGCGGCCACAAGACCTAGGCCGACCAATGAGATGTAAGCAGAAGGCCATGGGTGGGACTTCCTGGAGAGCTTTTAAAAGGTAGTTGCTTTTCTCCTCCCCCTCCTCTGACCTGGAGTTGGGGGCCTGGTATCTGGAGCTGTGTCAGCCATCAGGAGAGCATGAGGCTGGAAGCTGTGGGATGAGGTAAGAGCTGTGTGCTAAGGATGGGCTGGGTCCTCGATGACTTCCTAGAGCAGTTTCACCAGCCATGGAGTGACTACCTGGGACTTCCTGCTGTGAGAAATATAAACCTCTACTTGGTTAGGCCACTGTAGCTGGGTGTCTTTTACAGCTGAACACAGTCCTCAAACTTGGGACCGCAGAAAGAATGTTTCTGGATTGGAAATGGGTGGGTTAAGGCAAGAACATGGTCCCTAGAAGGTAGAAGGGAAAGGAGTCCTTTATCCCTTTATTTGTTTGCTTTTGTTTACTATCTCACTCTACAATCTTTAGGTAGTCTCTATTTCCCAAGGGATTAAGTTCATATTCTTCAGACCAAGACTCTATAAAACTTGGCCCCAAACGAATTTTCCAGGTGTATTACCCTTTATATCATTCAGGGGAGCAGGAGTGAGCCTTCTCTCCTGAGCACAGACTGTACACTCCAACCTTGACCTTCGCTTGTGTGAGTTATCCCTCCTCATGTCCACCTGTTCCAGGCTTATCTACCCTTGTAGACTTCTCCTTCAAGAAGCCCTCCCCTATCACCCTGGGCTGAAGAAAGCTCTCCTTCCATCTGCTTTGTAACTGAGGTCTATATACTGATAGCTTCTTTACATTTTCAGGTGTGTTAAACTCATCTCGCCAGCAAAGTTGGGAGATCCTCCGAGGCAGGATCTTGGGAGCATGGTAACGTGGAAAGAGTCTCTGTTCCAGGATGATCTTGGGTGAGTCATTTGACTTCTTTGAACCTCAGTATCCTCATTTGTGAAATGGGGGTCATATACATTTCTACCTGCCAGGGTTTTGGTGAAGATAGCCTCTGTAAGCATTTAGTAAGGTGCCTGGCACTTTCACGTTGGTGCTGGAGAGGCGCTTGTGTGTTAGCTTATTGGCTTTTTGCCTCATTGGTAACTGCTTCATTGTGCCTTTTTCCTATGCTTTGCATCTCTCTTGCTTCTGATTTTCTGTTTTGCATTGAACCAGGAGACTTGTTCTAAGTTTGGGGCGTGACCATCGGGTTGCTCTCATTTTCCTAGACGGCACATCTTGGGCGGCTGGCTTCAGTCTTTAAACATAATAGGAGGGCTAGAGGGGGAGACTTTATGCCCATGGCTAAGGGTGTGAGATAAGATGCTAACTTAACTGCTCAAAAGAGTTAATGAAGTCTTTCTCAGAAGGTTTTTAAGGAAAAGGATTGTATTTAAGTCCCGTTTTTACCTGGCCACAGGGGGATGGGCTAATTGACCTTACAGCATTTGGTATTTTTCACTAACTTCCAATTCTGCCTGCTATAACAAGGTATAATAAATATGTTCGCCTTAAACTTTTTGCTATCGTGATCTCCATCTTTTTCTTACCTCAGCACCATGCCAGAAACCCAGATCAAATAAAATGATTGTGAGAAGTGACCATAGCGCAAAGTCCCATTGTTGAATGTTTAATGAGAAATGACAGTTTTATCACCTCCTAGTTAAGTACCTGCCACACGCAGCTATAAATGGGGATGAATGTATTGAATTGGGTGGAAAATGAGAAGTCACCATGGACTTAAATGGCGTGATAATGTGTACTGACACTGAAGTCCCAAGGCAGTGTTTTTTCCATGTGGTTTCACTGAGCATCACTCAGAGAGTCCAGCGAGACAGAAACTCTCTTGTCCCTGTTAAGGCAGAGCCCTATGCGGGAAAGAGGAAGGGTCAATAAAGCTTTGATCGATTGCACAGCTGTGTCTAGCCTCGTGCAGTCTGGCGCATTCTCACTGGAGTAAAGTCTCCTATGGCATAGCCAGCCGTCCTTGCTGGGCTGGGCTCGGGGCCGGAGCAGCTGTCAATCTGCTAGGAGTGTGTGTGTTGGAGAAAGAATTGGGGAGCTCACGACTGGGGGAGTTGAACTCCTTTCTTTGTTACGTACATGCTGGGCAGCTTCATTTGTGCCGGCTCACGAGCCCTCTAGTGTTCAAAGTGGGTTCCTGCTGGTTGCTTATTTGCTGAGCAGCGAACATCTCTATTGTGGACAACTGTTTATTTGCTTTGTATCTCTGTGTGCAAGTTGGCACATTTGTTTCTGGGTTAGCTTTTCTTCATTTTTGTGAGTCTGCGCTTGGGCTGGTGGGTGGGTGTATGCTGATTTTTTTTTTCTCTTCCCACTTTTCCAGTAGGATAGTATCGATGACATCCTCTGGGCTCAGTTAGGCGTTTAATTCCTCTTTCCCTGGGATCCTTAGGAGGATGCCCTTATCTTGCCACCTGCCTCACCCAAAGGATACACTGCTCAGTGACGGGGGTGGTCTTTGTCCACTAGATTCTGAGGCTTGTCCTGGGCTCCCAGGAGCTTTGGCATTTCTCCTTTTTAATCACGTATCACCTGAAGGCAGGCCCTGAGCCTACATGACTGGCTGTGTTCGGTTCTGCCCAGGCCCAGCGCTAAGTGGAGCCTTGCCAATGGCCCGGGGATGTCCTAACGTGTTGGCACAGCTGGAAAGAGCTCAGGAGTCTTGGCTCCTGTATCAGTTTCCTGTTGCTGCTATAACAAATTGCCACACACTTAATGGCTTCCAACAACACAGATTTAGTCTCTTACACTTCTGGAGGTCAGACATCTAAAGTGGGTTGGCAGGGCTAGGTTCCTTCTGGGGCTCCAGGGGAGAGTCCATATTCCAGCCTTTTCTAGCTGCTGGAGGCCATCCACACGCCTCGACTTGTAGCCCCAGTCACTCTGGCCTCTGCTTCCATGGTCACATATCCTCCCTTTCACCTTCCTGCCTCCCTTTTATGAGGACCCTGTGATTACATTGGGCCCACCTGGAAAATCCAGGGTCATCTCCCCACCCAGGTCCTTGACTTCATCACATCTCAGTGTCTTTTGCCATATAAGGTAACATGTTCATGATTCTGGGGATTGGAACATTGCCATCTTTCTTAGGTTGGGGGACTACTTATAAGCCTACCGCAGGCTTCCCCCACCTCAGAGAAGAGCTAGGAATGTGAATAGATGTGGTGGTCACAGTGTGATTCTGGAAATGCTTTCCAAACTCCTCCTTCCCCATAGACACCTCCCTAATCCACTAACTTCTGGAATCCTCCTCTCAGGGCATAAAGTCTGGTCATCCACAGTGAGAACTCAGGCTGGTACAAGGGGTCTGAACATGCTTCTCCTCATTCAGGTGTGAGTGGCTGACACCCTAAAAGCAGATTCTGATTGGAGGGAGGCACAATGTGATGGGAGGAGGTGCCAGGGAGGCTGGGGGACAACTCGGATCATGTCCTGATAATACTCCGGCATGGAGGTGTGGTGGGGGGAGGGTCCCAGTGATGGAGAGAGCAAAGGCACTTGGAAGTATGACCAGAAAGTTTTAATGAAACAGAGCAAAATGGCTGCGATGCAGAACAGGTAGTGCTTGGAGAACAGAAAGAAGACCATCTCCTTGGTGACATAGATTGTGTGAATAAAGATGAAACAGTACAGGAACATGGCAAACTGGTTCTGGGGCAGCATGAGGTCCTGGAAGCCTCCCAGGAACTGTGAGGGAGAGAAGATGGTGGAGCTGGTGGCGCCAGACAGATCTGGGTTCAGTCTTGCTCTGTCCCTGCCTGAAGGTGACCTTGGGCAGGTTCTTGTCCTCACCTAAGGAAAGGGTAATGGTGCCTACTTTACAAGCTCACGAGGAATAAGAAGACAAACAAAAAATGAAAAATTCCTAGTAAGGTTACTGGCACACAGAAGGAACTCATTATTTTTAACTTTGTGAACCTGCTGCTCTTTCTTCCTCCTCACTGGGGCACCAGGCCAACACCTTTCTTTCCCATCATGTTCCATACTGTCCATTGGAGTTACACGTGTGGGCGATCTCTCTCTCATTCCAAGCTCCCCAGATCTGGATGCTGGGTCTTGGGAATGTTCTTTGGACAGTTTGCCCTGACACACAACCTGATTTTCTAGACAAAATGGCATGATCACAGGGTGTCCCTTGGGTACAAATGACTCCCTGGGTCATGGCATGCATCACCTGGGTCAGTCCCTGGTTCTTCAGTCCAGGCTTTGGTCTCTCCTAGAGGCAGGTGCTGAGAGATGGGTGTCAGGGCCTCCCTCGCAGTATCAGGCTGGGGAAAAGCAGCTGGAGTTGTCTGGCTGATTCTGCCTGTGAGCTGCTCTTTACTGGAATCTATATAATTGGGGTCTGACAGATCCCATGTTAACTGTAGAAGGCATCAATGTATAAATAAGGCAAAAGCTGATATAATGATTTTGATCCATAGTTAAGAAGTCATTACCCATGGGTTATTCTTTAAAGTATTTTTAAAAATCATGTCACATTTTTTTTTTGAAAACAGCCAGGTGGTAGGAACTGAGATGCCCTGAACTAGCTAGAAACACACTCAAAGTAGTATTGTCAATACAATGAAAATCTATCTGTCCATCCATCTATCCAACCACCCACCCAGAAAGAAGAGGGGGAGCTTCACAATCAAGTCAAATCCTCACCTTTTAGTAAATGCACAAAAAGTGAAACACTTTCGTAAATTATCACCAAAGGGTGGGGATTGGACACATCATTGTTGAAACACCTACATACAATGTGAAGACAACTAAATAAAACCTAGAGGGCAGAAAGTGGCTCCAGTGATGCTGCCTTTGAAATGAATAGTGAGGAAGGCTGAAGACCAGAGGAACCCAATGTTCTGATGGGAGTGGAGGGCTGGACCAACCCAGTGGTTCTCTGCAGGCTCAGTGTGGCTCCAGACCCATGGACTCTGCCACCTTCCTGCAGTCTGCATGTCTTCAGTCTGAAAATACTGGTGGGTGATCATTGTGTTTCTGATCACAAAACATGCATTTGTGAACCCTTTAGACTTTTCAAAATACTTTCAATGGTCTAATTTTGAGCAGAAGACAGAGATAGATAAGACTATACACCAAGGATTTCCATCTCATCCAGCACGGAGAGAGATTTTTCAGTCTAAAAAGGGGGAAATAAATATGGTTAGGAGGAGACACAGACCAAAGCAAAGTACAATACCATATCTGCGTTAAGTAGTTTCAGGCTCCAACTCATGACAAATTTTATCCTAGGATACTAAGAAAAAACTCAAGTCTGGAAATGGAACTTAGGAGAATTAAAAAATATTAGGAAATGTTTTGTCAGAATCTTAGATACAGGAAAATATTTTCTAGTTCAAAAAGAAGGGGGAAAATATCCTAGTAATCTCAGTTCAATAAGATTGACTTGGCTCACTGAAATCATTTAGTGTATAATCGGGTATTTTGTGAGCAAGAAAAAAAAATTATGAAGCCAACATGTATTCATTAAGAACAAATCATGCAAAACCCACCCCATTTTCTTTAAAAAAAAATTGACCAGTCAATTGGGTAAATGCTATAGGTAACGTAGTATCTTAATTCTGGGAAACCATTGACAGTGTGTCTCAGGACAGGTTTTTCGATAAGGTGGAGAAATTGATCTGGATAAAATGTAACTTAAGGGTACTGATTAATGGAACATTGCTAACCTGTAGGGAGATCTGTTAGTGGTATTTATTTTAAGTCATATCCTCCTCAACAATTATAGCAGTGACTTGGATAAAGACAGAAGGCAAGCTTCTCAGAATTGAGGATGACTCAGAGCTGGGAAGCATAGCTAATACATTACATCCTAATAAAACTGAAAAGTGATAAATGTGAGTTCCTGCATTTGGGTCAAGAAGTGAATTGCATGAGTACATAAAAATGGTAATAGCTAGCATTTATTGAGTGCTTACCTAATGTGCTGGGCTCATTACAAAGTGCCTTGCATGTATTCTCTCATTTAATCTTTACAGCAACCCTATGAGGTGGGTACAACCTCATGGATGAGCAAACCCCAGAGCTCAAAGAACAAGAAAGTAACTTGCTCAACATTGCATAGCTTATAGATGGTAGAACCGGGATTTTCACCGAGGACTGTCTGACTGTAAAGCCTAGGCAACATTGCTTTAACAATAACATCTTCCACTATTGAGTGCTTATGACGGCCTAGCCACTGTGCTAAGCTCTTCACATCCTGTTTAATCTCAAATAAGCATTCTTATCCCCATTTAGTACAGATTTGGAGAGAGTGGTACATTTTTTGTGAAAAGATGGCTCAGCTCTTACAGTTGACTACAAGGCAGTGTGACCCAACAGAGTAAATGTAGACCTGATGGGGAAGGAGATGGTTCTATCAAAATCCACTGGCCAAAGCTGGGCCTGGTGGCATGTACCTATAGTCCCAGCTACTCAGGAGGCTGAGGTGCGAGGATTGCTTGAGGCCAGGAATTCAAGGATGTAGTGTGCTGTAGAGCCTGTGAATAGCCTCTGCAGTGGCATTTGAGGTGTAGTCTCCAGCATCACATTTTGAGAGATGCAGAGCCGGGGGTGGTGGTGGCTCATGCCTGTAATCCCCGCAACTGGGGAGGCTAAGGCAGAAGGATTGCTTGAGCCCAGGAGTTGGAGACCAGCCTGGGCAACATAATGAGACCCCCGTCTCTACAGAAGAATAAAAAATAAGCTAGGCATAGTGGTGAACGCCTGCAGCCCTAGCTACTTGGGAGGGCGATGCAGAAAGATCCCTTGAGCCCTGGAGTTGGAGGCTGCAGTGAGCTATGATCTCGCTACTGCACTCCAGGGTGGGTGACAGAGTGAGACCTTGTCTCTTAAGAAAAAGAAAATGCAGAGAGGAATTGAGAGTGGTGGAAATTCAGTCATAGAGAAAGTGTTGAAGACTTTTTCCTTAATTTTCCCTTAAGCTGTCAAAAGGGCCATTGGGTGGGCGATGTGGTTCTGGGACCACTCCTAGCCTCAGCTCTCCCTAGAGAGTCAGATCTCAGCTCACGGTGGAAGCTCTGGGAAATAGAGCCGTTCGGTGTGGGCCGGCGGTCTCTAAGGCCAGGAGCAGCCCTCTCTGGAAGTGATCCAAGGCAGAGACGGCCTGTGTGGACGCTCAGCCCCTTGCAGCGAGATCCGGGATGGGATCTGCAGAGCGGATTACTGCGGTCCAGTAGGGAAGGACGGCTTCTCGCCTGTGCCTCCCTCGCCCCGCTTGCCCAGCGCTTTCCTTCCTGTCACCTACCAGGCTTGACGCCCGCGGGGGCGATGCCTGCTGCTGCAGCTGCTCCATCACCTCCTCGTGCTGCCGCTGCCGCTCGTTCTCCTCGTGCAGGTACTTGAGCCGCGTGAGCTCGAACTCCATGCGCATCTTCTCCAGCTCCATCTTGGTGGCGGTGGCGTTGTGCTGAGTCCCTGTGGCCAGAAGCCACTCTGGGGGTTCGGGTCCATCACCTGCCTGGCCCTTGGTGGCAGGGCCGGCCTTGGGGGACAGCGACTTAGGTGGCCCTGGGTAGCTTCCTCCGTCCTCACAAGTTTCCATCTCCTCTGAATAGTCATGGGAGGAATCTGGCTTCGGGGACTGTGCCTCCTGGGGCAGGGACAGGAAAGGGTGGGGGTAAGAGTGAGGCCTCAGAATCTCACCGCCCGCCACCCCATGGCACTCCCACAGCCACAATGACTGGGGTGTTTGAAAGAGTGTCGTGACTTTAAACATCTAGACTGAGTTCTTACTAGAAGCACACTTACCCGGAACTGTCATGACCTGAGGGTTAAGGAGAGGCCAACTAACATTAAGGGTTCCTGAAAGTTGCAAGCAGAGGACCAGGTGTTGAGAGGGATGTCTGTCTTCCTGGAGATTTTCAAATCACTACCCCCACCCCCAACTTTGAGACTGGCTAGACACAAGGTCTTCTGGGGGCTACAGAGGGAGAAGGAATCCCCAGGTCTGCACTGAGAGAGCCTAAACATATGGGGACCAGCAAGAGAGCCACGGGGAGCCAGGTCCTATCCACGGAGCAAGGAAGGGCCCCACATGGGGCGGCAGATGGACGAGATCAAAGCCAGCTTCAAGTGACTTCACCATCTTATGAAGGGCTACCTGGTCCCTGGTGACAGCTGGGTATCAGTGATGGGGATGGGGGTACATGTCTCCTGTTCCTCTTGGCAGCTCTCTGGAACCTCAGCACTCAGCTCCAATCACATGTCCCTAGAGTACCTGCCTCTCCCTCACTGGGGCAGTGAGAAGGGACATCCCCTTACCGAGGAAGCCCTTGGCTTCCCTTCAGGCATGGAGTCACCAGGCACCATCTTGGGGAAGGTCGGGCAGCTTTCTCCTGCCCCCCGAGCTTCCATCATCTCCCTGTCCTCTGTTGCCATCCAGAGCACCACAATGCTGCTAACTGGGGCCAAAGGACATCTTTTGAGGCACTAACATTTGGCCTCACCAGATTCCACAGCCCAGCCACCATCACAATCCCCTGTCCTCACAATAACCCACATTCTACCTAGTTGCTAGGGCCCCTTTGGTAGAGAGTATGACACCTTCGAGGTGCCATTGAGAACTGTAGAATGGGCCTTTCCAACCCATAAGGACTGCTTTGAAAACTAAAATTCCACCACTTGAAATCCAGAATTCCACTGTCTGAAATTTATTCCCCTGTGTTACTCTTTTAAATGAAGATTGTATGGGGATGAGTCACAACTAGCTCCTTAAACCCTGTTAGGGGCTGAACCACATCCTTCCCTAAGTTCATATGTTGCAGTCCTAACCCCTGGTACCTCAGAATGTGACCTTATTTGGAGATAAGGTCTTTATAATGGTGATTAAGTTAAAATGAGGTCATTAGGATGAGTCCTAATCCAATACAACTGGTGTCTTTAGAAGAGGAAATTCAGACCCAGTCACGAACAGAGGGAAGATAATGTGAAGATACGGGAGAAAGTGGCCATCTGCAAACCAAGGGGAGAGACTTTGGATTAGTTAGGGTTCTCCAGAGAAGCAGAAGTAATAAAAGATATATAAAATTATATTTATTATAAGGAGTTGACTCACGCAATTATGAAGACTGAGAAGTTCCAAGATCCCCTGTCTGCAAGCTGAGGACCCAGGAAAGACAGTGGTGTCATTTCCGATCTGAGTCCAAAGGCCTGAGACCTGGGAGACCCAGTGCTGTAAGTCCCACTCCAAAGACAGGAGAAGACTGGTGGCTCACCTCAATGTCGTCAGGCAAATAGAATCAATCCGACCTTCCTCTGCCTTTTTGTTCTACTGGGGCCCACTCCAGATCGAAGGAGACCCATCCACATCGGGGAGGGGGGCAATCTACTTCACCTAGTCCACCGATTCATGCTAATCTCTTCCAGAAACACCCTCAAAGACAGACTCTGGGCATCCAATGGCCCATTTAAGTTGACACAGAAAATTAACTATCACAGATCGTTCTCTCTCAGCTCTCAGAATGAACCAACTCTGCTGACACCTTGATCTCAGATGTTTAGCCTCCAGCACTGTGAGCAGATGAATTTCTGTTGTGTAAGCCACCCAGTCTGTGGTACTGTGTTACAGTGGCCCTATCAAATGAGTGCAACCCTGTCCTTCACACTCCCAGGGGGGTAGAATGGGTTGGAGGGAGCAGCAAAGAGATCGGAAGGCTGGGGAATATATTTTGCCATCTTCCATTTTGTGAAAACCACAATAAAACCTTTTGATATTTGAAGGCAGGGCTGCATTATGGGAAAAGGAAGGCTGCATTTGAATTTTAGCTTTGCTATTCTCTCTAGCTGTGTGACCAAGGGAAGATTATTTTACCTGTCTGAGGCTTAGGGTATTCATTGGTAAATGGGATAAAGATTTATCTACTTCTGTACCTTGCAGCACTGATGTGAAAATAAGATATTGTGTTTAGCCCACTCCCTGCCCATATGGGGACTAAACAAACGATAACAATCATCATTATTATTATAAGGGGTGGGTTTGTCACTGGAGAGAACAGAGTGCTCAAGGTTCACCTTCTGTCTTTCCTGCAAACCTTTAATTGAGGCGTGGCTTTCCTCTCTGGGCGTTATGGTGGGGACCATGTGATCTATCTCACAGTTGTTGTACGTTGTCTATCCTGCCTCAAGCACTAGGAGTAGGATTGCCAGATAAATGTAGGATGCCCAGTTAAACTTGATTTTAGATTAATAATTTTTAGCATAAATGTGTTCTAAAAATTGCATGGGACACATTTCTACTAAAAACTTATTTGTTTATCTGAAATTCACATTTCACTGGGCATCCTGTGTTCTGTTTGCTACTCTGGCCATCTTAACTAGGAGAGACCTGCCCAAAGAAACAATTGCGTATGACCAAACAATTGAGGCAGCTTTGTTTCAGGTGTCTCTCATCTTCTTGGGAACACTGGGCTAGCCTGGGCACGCTCTTCGCATGGTGACAGAAGAAGCGCGTGAGGCCTCAGAGCTGGCACAGTGTCACTCCTGTCTTATGCTGTTGGCGAAAGATGGTCATATGGCCAAGCCCAGACAGAGCCAAAGGATGGGGAATGTACTCTGTCCCTTTAGTGGGAAGAACTGCAGAGACATGGATCAAAAGTGTGGGTACAGAGGATGAAGAATTGGGGCCAATTGGGCAATGTCCCAGGCGAGTCAAGGGGTCAGCTGTGGGAAGGTTTGGTGGAAGAAGTGACACGAAGGGTGGGTGGGATTTGGGTGAGAGGGAGGATGAGCAAGAGCAGTCTCCATTGATCGTTATTTTCCAACTTCCTCTCCGTGTCTGCCCTCTGCCCTTCTCCACCCCACCCTTTCCCTAGGGGGCCAGCCTCTGGGAAACTGCATTCATTCATTTAGCAAAGCAGTGTGTTCCAAAACCAAACAGAGTCTAGCATTCTCATTACCCCTGTCCCTAGATAAGGTGATCAAACAAAGGACAAACCTGTCCTTTAGGGCTGGGAAGACAGGTCTCACGAGCCTCGGGTTGGTTTGGCACTGGTGGCAGCAGGAAAAGATCCTCCACCTCCCCCATTAAGCTCAGAGACAGAGTCTGCAGTAAAGCCGCACGAGGGGAGGGGGGAGACAGGATTGCGTGGGAGCCCAGCAACAGGGGCGAGGGATGACTGTGCTGGATTCAGGGCAGTTCTAGGGCCCAGCAGGCAGAGCTGCCGTGCCGTCATATGTCTTACTCACTGCTAGAACTTGGCCGATTCTGGTATTTCTGCTCCTGTGTCCTCTCGCTTCTCCTTAACATCCTTCCTCACTTTTTTTCCTGTGCTGTAGCCTCACTGTATGCAAGATTTCTGCTTCCTCCCAATTTCAGCTTACTCACAACTTCAGCTTCTCATGGTCCTTCAGGCCCTGACCATATGGCCTCTCTGCCTCCTGTGTTGTTTGTCCTAACTGTCGGCGTCGCTCATTATTTCCTAGAAGACCTTTCCAAGGGCAAGAATGAGAATGTGCTGGCTTATCTCCACCAAGGCAGAGCTTTTCATTCTAGCCACAGGGCAGCCTACAGATTGGGAAGGTGCCCAGCCCAGTTCCCTCTGCCGTGAAGTGGAAGGATGGGAGGGCAGGGTGATAGGGCACAGTGCACAGCAGGCTGGGGGGTTGTCCGGCAGCAGGAGCTGCGGGTGGGTCAGTTTCCCTTAGAAAGGGCAGTGGGCATAGCAAGCACCGTGTTGAAGATTCATGGGCACATTCACAGACCAGTGTATCAATTATAGGCTTGGCAAATAACCAGATGAGAGGCTTGTATATCAGTGCGGTGCCCACAAGCTTTCATGTGCATGTTCTCATTTGATTCTCAGAATGCCCTTGTGAGGCAATTTAAAGCAGATACAATTACTGCTACCTGATAAACAAGGAACTTAAGTCACACAGAGAGATGAAGTGATGTGTGTCTGCATGCAAACGATGTTAGTGGTTGAGCCAGGACCGGAATGCAGGTTTCCCATCTCCTTTCCCTGTGGATTTTTTTTTTTGGAGACAGAGTCTCGCTCTGTCACCCAGGCTAGAGTACAGTGGTGTTATCATAGCTCACAGCACCCTCAAACTCTTGAGTTCAAGTGATCCTCCTGCCTCAGCCCCCCAAGTAGCTGGGACTACAGGTATGTGTTACCATACCTGGCTAATTTTTTGTAGAGATGGGTTCTTGCTATGTTGCTGAGGCTGGTCTCGAACTCCTGGCCTCAAGTGATCTTCCTGCCTCTGCCTCCCAAAGGGCTAAGATTACAGGCATGAGCCACCACACCTGACATCCCTGTATTTTTATACTAGACCACAAAGATGGTCTTTGGGGCTCCAACTCTAAGAGGTGAAATGACTTTTTGCCTCATAAAAAGAAAAAACTCAGTATGTACATAGAGGTTTATTATAGCGTTGTTTATAACAGCAAAAAACTGGAAACAACTTAAATCTCCACCAGAAGGGATCTGGTTAAACAATTGGTGCTATATCTATCTCAAGAATACTATGCAGATGTTTAAAAGAATAAGATTAAAGAAAAAAAGAATAGGATAGCTGCATCAGTACAAATATCTTGTTCTTCAAGATACCTTGTTTACTAGAAGAGCGGGAACAAGTTCCCACATGTATTTAAATATGAAAATATACTATCCTGTATACCTAGAATATGTCTGGAAAGACACATAAGAAACTGGTTCATGATGGCTGTCTTTGTGGTTGGGGAGCTGAGGGATTGGGGTTTAGGGTGGGAGGGAGACTGATCCTTAACTGTATACCATTTTGTATTCTGACTTTGTAAAAACCACATGCATATATTACATCTTTAATTAAAATTTTAAAAAGGTATCTGGAGGGGAGAGCCTTGCTCAGCATAGATGAAGTTTAAAATGAATAACTTGTTCAAGGCAGGGACAGACAGGTATCTTCAAGCCACCTGGTCATATCCTTTTCACCTTTTTTCCCCACTCTCCAATCCTGGGTAGTCTTACTTGACCCAGGGATGGATGTCTTATTGCTAAAATGTCCTCTTCCTTTTCTGGCTGCCTTAGCTACAGTCTCTGTTGCAGCTTTGAGACACTTTCCTAAGGTGTGCTGGAGTATTTAAAGGATTATAATAGTAACAATTTATTGGGCACTAACCATACACCAGGCACTGGGAATTTTACATGGATTATGTTACTTAATCTTCAGAGCAACCAATGAGTTAGGTCCTATTATTATTTCTATCTTTATAGAAGTCAAGACTGAGTTACAGAGAGGGCAAGTTACCTGCCCACAGTTACACAGCTAAGAAGAGGTAAAGCCAGGATCTAAGCACCAAAAGTTCTTGTATTTAATACCTTCCTGCATAAAATACTTAAAGTGTTTTCTGGCCAATACAGGGGGTATCCAGGAGAAGGAGGTGACTCAAGGTGATTCACTGGGGAAATCGGAC